TTTTTTTTTTTTTTTCTTCAATAAAAGTTATTTGATTTTTAAACCAATATTATTTGATTTCATAATCAATTTCATTTTTTTGTTATTGTCGAATAAAATATTATTGTTATTATTCCTATTGCAAGAATTTTGCAATTACTTTTATTTTCGTTATTATTACTATTTTTACTGTTGTAACTATTATAACGTTATTAATATTGTTATTCTTATTATAATTATTGTTATTAATATTAGTATTCAAAACTGATTGAGCAGCTGAAAAAAAAAAATTACAACATCATGGCACTGTATCATTATTTTCACTCCATACATACATTTATGTATTTGCTTACTGTGTATAATATTCTACCAGGATGCATTTCTCATTTCTTGTAAAAATGGTTCATCTGGGCAATCATTTCTTAACAATAATAAAAAGAAAAATGGCAGTACGTGTATCTTCTACTATGTAGTCGTCATCAGAAACTGAAAAGTTTTTTGGGCTGAATGAAATGTGGAAAGAAATAAAACCACCAAAAATTACGTGAGAAAAAAGCCAACGGCAAAAAAACTCACTTTATTAAAATAATATTTTACAAATATAATACACAAATATAATTTACATATTTACATTAATATTTACACATATTTATATTTATATACATACACATATAATTATTAAGTCGTAATTAAGTTGTTATAATACTAATATTTACATTATTTCAATTAATACAATGTTAAAAACCTTTTTTTTTCATTCAACAATATTAAGCTGCTAGGTTTCGCATACAAAGAGATCATTTCACTCTCAAGTAAAAATGACAAGAATTAGGAGAAAACAGTGCTTATCTACTTAATGATTTACTTCTTTCAAAATAATCACTTATGATTTTTACCCGCTTATGTTAATAAATTTGAGAATTTTTTTATTTCACTACTGCTACAGTAGAATATTTACTACTGTCAGTAATGTAAAAACCAAATTTCACTTTTTTGACATAAGTAAAGTTGACGAATTAAACTATTAATAAATGCATTGCTTATTGTCCTTTTTCCCGAAAACACTAAAAATTAAATTTACTTTTTTAAAGTGATGACAATAAAGAAACTACACTTTGCAAAAGAATATTTTCGGTATTTTCTTTGATAAAGTGTAAAATGTTTTACATTTACACTTGGGACATCTGTGATAAAAATCAGATTATTGTTCATATAAAAAATTATAAACTGTTGTAGTAGAAACTAATGTATGCCAATGTATTTTTACAAAAGTGCGTTGAGCACTTGACTTATTCGAAGATGGAGCACCCACAGAAAAAAAAAACTTTATCAATAAAGTTTAATGAAAAGGTTATGTTCATATTTTTTTGGCAAACGTGCATTGTATATTTTACACATTGTCAAAGAAAAAACATATTTTTTTTACAAAGTGTAGCTTCTTTGGCATCACTTTAAAAAATACAATTTCATTTTTAGTGTTTTGGGAAAAAAAGATATCACAAGCAATGCGTTTATTAAAAGTTTAATTTGTTAACACTAATTTTGTCGAAATAGCGAAATTTAGATTTTACGTTTACGAAAGTAGTAAATATAATACTTAGGCAGTAGAAACATGCACAAATTCTCAGGTTAATTGATGTTAAGGTGTAAAAATTATAAGGAATTATTTTTAAAGAGTAATGCATTCATTAGATACACACTGTCATCTCAAAAGTTTTACAATATTGTCCATAGTATACAAAATGTTCGCATTCACACACAATTATAACGTATCACAATACATACAACTATTTTCATTGTAATATGGAAAACTGAAATGTAAGAGCTTTTACAAACATACTATGATGTTACAAAATTAGATGTTTATCAAATGATCAGATTTTTACGGAATTATATTTTATGCTTACTACATTTTTGCTACACGATTTCAAATGAAAATTAATATTTAAATTATTATTACAAAAACAATCGAAGTACCGAATCTTTTATACTAATAAAAAAAGTCAAACGTTTTTCACGATCAGCATTTTATGGTTATTAGTTTTAATGTTTTTCTTAGCTTCTGCTCTGCGTTTTTGATTATTATCTCTAGTAGTTTTAAATACTTTTAATCTCAACAAAATTTTTAAAGCTTCAACCCGATGTTCATAACATGCATTACTTTTATCAAACCACTCAGGAAAATATTCACTTGTAACTTTTTCCACTACCTCAGCTAAAGAAACAACTAGTTTCCTTTGATGCCAAAGACTCGTATGATGTTGTTGAAAAGCTTGTAACTGACAAGATATTATTTTTGAAAAAAGTTCCGTAGGCCTTGCTAAGTACGTTATTTCTGATACTGTTTGATCAGTATGTTTGTATTCTCTACATTTTGTATAAAATTCGTCATCCGTGACTTGTTCATCTTCATTTTTCTTAAACACTTTCTCACAATCGCTACATTTACTCTTTCGTAAAGAACTTTTAGCTGTGTAACCACTTAAGTAGGTAATAGCATTTCTCTCATATAAGCCTTTGCTTTCAAAGTCTACTATTTCCGCTGAATCTATAGGTGAAAATGTTTCCATCATTTCAGCTGCCTGTAAAAGCTCT